ATACGTGTTTTGGAAAAATTTTATATTAGTTTTCAGAACTAATGGACAGAGAAATCTATGATGTCTGAAGTATGTCTAGCAAGTGCGTATGATTACCGATGCTAGGGACGTATAAATGTACCAGTATTGAAAAATTGAGATAAGCTATGCCCACCTCCATACAACGCCAACCCACAAGTTCTTATGATCCTCTGAAACGTCAAAATACGAAGTTTCGGCAATTTTTACTTTTTTTAATTTAGGCATATTTCTCTGCCGCTAGTTTACTAATTTTTAAAAATTACACAGCTTTTGCCTTCTTGGCATAGTAGTAACGTTGTTTGGAAATTTCATTCAAAATTCTAGTCGTATTTCTCAAGTTATCGGCGGTTATAAGCTTAGCGGACAGACCGAGAGACAACCAGACGGAAATATATGTCATATAACATCCAAAAAACATAAGATCATCATTTCCTCAAATTTTCTCGATTACAATACTTATCCGTCAGGAGGCGTGGGCGGGAAAACCATATTATGAGCAATTTGTGATTCCAACAGCCTCTTAAATTTCATATACGTGTAAATTGCAATAAGGAGTGGGCCACGCCGCCTCTAACTTTTATCCTGGCTCGGGCCCGGGCGTCTTTTCCAAGAGATTTACAACCGGCGAATTATATGTCCTTGGACCATTTTACAGCTAGCGCGGCATGCTGTACGACCTTAATATCAAGAGTTAATTAAAATAGTTCTAGTGATAACGCTCTACGTGACAAATATGTTAACTAGACTGGTGCTCAGTGAAGACTAGTGTGCACGTAAACTGTCTTATATAAACGGACATAACTCAGCCAGACACCTCCGGATGCTTGAACGTTGGAGTTTGGAACATTGGCAGTAGGCATAGGCGACTCGATCACTAAGGGGTTGTCAAAGACGAACAATCTTTACCACCAACTGCACCATGGACGTCCCCCGCAACGCCTGAGTGTTGTTGATTCAAAGGGTTCCCTACACTATGCGGGAAGTACCCTTCAGGCATAAGGCCGTAAGACGGGTGCTCTTGTCGCTCGATTTCAACAAAGCTTCTGGTCCGCACGGGTATTGCGTATCTTGAAAAGTGACATTATGCCGATTTTTTGTGACATCATGAAGGTTTCTCTACAAGATGTTAACTAAGCATTAGCTGATGGACACGTTGTGAACTCGTTTTGTAGTTGTACGTGTTGCCTAAACGTCATTGAGGTTTCAGTTATCAATGTTTGGTTCTGATGTGATGTAAAATCTGCTTCAGAGATGGCATTACCGAAGGCTCAAGCTGTAAGTAGCTAGAAGGAAACGACAATGCATAGGTGCATAGTGAGGATTTGTGTGCTAATTCCATTGGGTTCTTGTATCAAATACACTAACTTGAGATTATAAGCTATAAGTTAGTTGCGTATCCTCTTTTGAGAGAGATAAGAAACAATGATATTCACTATACACTGTCAAATTACAGGTATACATGCTAACAGTAATTACACACAATGTGGGCGCGGCGGTGATTTCCCATAACTCTCCTTAAGGTTTTGAAAACTACAAAAAACGTAAAAAATCGTGATTCATAGCTTTGAACACCTAACCAGCTTCAGAAAGGACACATAAATAACCCGTAGGGCACAGCTATCGATATACTTCATTGGCAGCATATCCAGTAATTATTTTTTCACACAACAAATATCACCGATTTTATACACATGCAGACCAATACACACAATCATCCAGATGCGATCTTGCTATACAACTAACTTTCTTTTCAGAGATGAAAACTGTAGACTACACTCGGCTTCACAAAGCATATGCATATGTGTTGAATATACTTGTATTTGCAGCAGAGCTTGCGTTTCTTCCAGATATCTTGTGAATATGTAATTTTCACAGAAAACTAAGTTGTGATCATGGCCAGCCCTTCTCAAAAAACAGGATGTTACACCAACTCTTACAACTACAGACCTACAGCTCTGGTTCCTGTTATAAGTAAGGAGACGGGAGGTGCATAAATTGCATAAGTGCAAAGTGCATATATATGGATTCCGGTATAAGTGATCCACAAGGAACCTCGTAGCTAACGTCACGCAACTGTGGAGTAAGCCCGTCCACTCTTACGGCCAGGCTGTTGTAGTTGCTCTTGCTATCACGAAGCTTTGCACATGAGTGGGACTTTCCCTCTGCCCGCAATTTATTAGTTATAATAGTATTTACTTACTCCTAAATCGCAATATAAAGAATGAGTAAATATATATGAGTATGTACATCGACCATTCATATTGCAATTGTACATGCTATTGAAATATGAATACAGACACAACTAACAACGAATAATTTGATGTTCACATTCAATATTAATTTGTGTATGTCTGATCCTGCCAGAGAAAAATCCATTCTTTTACCTGTTTCTTGAAATTATCCCCAACCCTTTATGTAGATACATTTTCGTATAATTTCGGACCTAAATAATGGTATGATCGTTGTACTTGATGGGCTCTGCTCCTCATCCCATAATGCCACCGCAGATGTCCCCCAGGGATCGGTCTTGGCTCCAACCTCGTTTCGTTCCTCTTTTCCTGTACGACCAATTCGATCCACAGCTTTGCTAATGACAGCACTCCAGATGCAGGAATTCAGAGTGAAAAGCCTATCTCTGGAGGTTATCACTGTGTTGAACAAGCGCATGTGGTTCACGTCGGTGTTTTCGATCCACATGGGCCTGATGAAGCCAATAAGCAGAAGCGTGCGATGCTCCTCCTATTTCTGCTACTGTTCCTTTATTGCGGTCATGCCCACGATTGTCCTTTGTTTTATTCGTTTGGATAGCACAATTTAGAATTCAATCTTTTTACCTACTGCAGTAAGCTATTTGTACGTATTTTATGAAAATCTGTTTGTTCTCAAAAAGGGCCATTTTATACATGTCAAACAAGTTATTCTATCAGCTTAAATGATGCTATTGAGCCCATTATTCTTTAGGGTGTAAGCTTTCTAGCTATATCCCGTTGGGGTTTGTCCATTCCTGGCTATCTAAATGTACTAATTGTTATAATATTTTTCTACTTCTTATTGACGCATTTTTCTCATCGGATCGGAAGTTTTTTAATTCTCTCATCAAAGAATGAAGCTGGTTATGTCAGTAGCTAATTGTGCAAGTTATGTACTTTGGCTCACTCTATACAATATAATTATTATATTGCATCATCTTAACGTTATCTTGTATCCTTCTATTACCGTTGTTCGAAAATTTGGAATTATCTCATACATGCAACCTGATACGTCCTCCATGCTTCTTAAGAATTAGCTTAGCCTATTATACGACTTTATTCTTTGGCAATCTGATAGCTATCAACTATTGTAGTGGTAGTTAGATTCATCAGCGGGAAGTAAAAGTTATTTTTCAAAAACTCTCGTTCGCCGCAGGCAAACATAGTTTCAGTTCTTCTTTCAGTGGCCCAAATATGTGATAGTCACATAGCAACAAATCGGGACTGTGAGGCGGGTATTTAAGCGATTTGAAGTCATTTGAAGCTGCCCATGGAATTGTCAGAGGCAAATTGGGTCAAGGATCCTGGATCCGGAAGATGAAACTGACGATGATGATGTTCCCGATGAAGCTGAAATCTTATGCGATTGCAATAATGATTATGTTGACAAATTTTATGACATGTAAAATTTGTAATTATTGTTTTGTATTTCCAGTTTCATAGGATATAATCAATACTAGACTTTTCGCATGTAGGTATAATATCTGCACGATTTTCCATCCAGTTTTTGGGTATATCAATTTACTGGCTAATTTCTTGTCAAAGACGTAGTAGTCCTTCTTTATTTGGAAAAATTACAAAAATTGGACAAAATGCATCTAGGAAGTCTGCTCCTCACTTGTGTCCTTGAATGTGTCTTATCGCCGAACTGTGCTGTTAATCGACTCAAAATTTCTGAAGGCTTTACGCACTTTTCTGCGAAAAAATTGTAAGATAATGCGTTGCGCTAAGACATGATGTTTCTGACAGCTGATCTACTTCGACGCTCCAAGCCGACTGACATCCTCACCCAACATCGCCCCTCTCCATTCACCTATGGAGCGTTACACAGAAAAGTCCGCTTCATATTTGATTCACTCTCGTATGTGGAAACCATCATCTGAGACTCCAATTGATGACTATATTAATTAAATTTCCTTAAATTATAGAATGATGTTTAAAAGTTATTTAATGAAAATCGATTGCCAGAAGCGTTCTTTAGGTGCGTGTATCTTCGTTCTTATTCCTTTTAGGTACACCCTATGCACTAAACAGGTTGGAGTCGCGTAGCTCCGTACAAAGCAAAATTCGATCATACCCATACGTTTGTATGGCTCCTATACCATATGTTCTGAATTGTAGGCTTAGAAAGATCAAAATCTATCACATCACACAATCCTCTGTTCGCTATTGCTATAGGAAGAAAACGTCCGTAAAGCTACTCTGCACGTGGATACCATAGGCCACAGAAACTTCAAGCCCTCAGATTTTCGACTTTTTCATTAACTAATCCTAAAAGGCTGTAATTAAGACTTTTCTCCTCAACGTTTATTGAATGTAGATGTAAATATTTATATTTAAGGACACAGCAGTCCCTTGGAACGAAGTACTTAATATCGTCGAACTTTCTCCAATACTAAAGTTCAGGTTCTTCATGGAAACTTTGTTCGTTGAGTGAAAAACCTCCTGACACAAAACGGAAACAGTAACTGAACTCCCTTATAATGGCTAACAACCTTTTGGACAGCGACAGAATCAGTTTGCCGTCTTTTGCCAGAGAGACTATTTGAATTCATTTGTATCAATTAATTGGAGGGAAAACTCTTAACTAGAAAGCTTAGTGGAACAAAGGAGTTATGAACACCATGATTTTTACGTCCTAAGCTTACTGGCGATGAAGGGATATGTATTTAAATTTCGAAAAAGAGATATATTATATATTTCTTTATGCTCCAGCTACCACGAAGACCTAAGACCTAAACACTCATGGGGCATCGTGTGGCTATAGGGGGATACAGGGGAAAAGGGGGTACGCCACACGGATTCTGGCGAGGGAACACGTGTGCATGCAACATGCACACATTCTGGCCCTACCTACGAGATCCGCCGTGTGGTACCTCCGCGTTCGACAGTCAGAGATCGTCTACCACATACGGAAAATCACAACATCTATACCCAAGAGAAAAATTCTCTTGGGACGGGATTCGAACCCGCGCAGCGCACTGCGACTGATTAGGCGACCGTGGCGCCTACCACTACGCCACCGCCAACCATGTCACTCATTTCCGTCGGTCTGTCTGTCTGCCTGACTGCTTGTCTGCTTGTCTGTCTGTCCGCTAATCCTCAGCCCTTCTATAACTCGAAACGTATCGCTCGAATTTTGTATGAAATTTTGATACAAGTTTATTACTGTACCAAGGAGTAAAAAACTAGTTTCTAAAAATCGGTTCAGTGATGGTGGAGCTAAGGGACAAAAAACAAAAAAACAGAAATCAATTAAACGTCGATTTTTTGACGTTTGAGAAGCCCTGATCATTTTCAGAAAAAATTATAGGGGTTAAAAATTGGCGGTTGGGTGTTGTTGTAGGAGGAATGGAATACCTCATTTTTTGACGAACATTTTACCTTTAATCTTAGAATGGTAGATAAGTGTTTTCGATGTGCGTCTCTGCTTTTGCTTCCTCTGGTTCACTGGCCAGCGTTCCAGCCTCAGTAGGTGTCCTACTATTACTGGCGTGATGTTGCTCGGCGGCATCTGGAATATGTTCCACACGACATTGTGGTGAGGTCTGGAGATGCCAGGTGGACGTTAGGGCAGGGCAATAATGTTTATGAACAAATTGCATCGCCCTGTCTGACTGACTTGATCCGTTCGATTTCTCTGTTCGTAAGTGGTTTCTTAGAAGGTGTAACTTGTGCTGACCATAATGCTTTACGAACTGATGACCACTTTGCTTGGGGAGTGCAAAGTCAATCTTCTTGACGCCATTTTCTTCATCTGTCGTGTAGTCAGAGCTCAAGTAGTGTGTGTGACAAAATGGTCAGGTTTTTTTTGTTTGGTGATAAAGAACCATTGGGCAGCAGCGGTGGCCGCAGTAGTAGACTCTTCGGTCTCCTGATCAGTCGCCGTGCGCTGTGCGGGTCCGAGTCCCGTCCCAGGCAAAATTTTTCTCTTGGCTATGGATGTTGTGATTGTCCGTAGCTGGTAGACGGTCTTTGACTATCGAACGCGGAGGTACCACCCGGCGGATCTCGTAGGCGGAGCCAGAATGTGTGCATGTTGCATGCACACTTGTTCCCTCGCCAGAGTTCGTGTGGCGTCCCCCCTTTCCCATATATCCCCCTATAGCCCCACGGTACCCAATGGGTGCTTAGGTCTTAGGCCTTCGTGGTAGTTGGAGAATAAAAAAATTCAATTTTCGAGCCTGATATAATTCCATGCCTAAACACCACCCAAAACCTGATTTTTCAGCAAGACAATGCCAGACCGCAGGTTGCTAGAGCATTTTTAGCCTTTATGGATCAACATCGCATCAACCGTTTACCCTGGCCACCACGATCGCTGGACTTATCTCCAATTGAACATGTCGGGGACATTTGCAATACCCTCCACAGACTTTACCAGCTCTTACTCGCGAATTTGCAGTAGCCTAGGATGAGATACCCCAACAGGATAACGACCACCTTATTAGCACGATGCCCAGCCATGTCAATGAGTTTGTAAGAAATCGTGGATCCTCAACACATTATTGAACAAGCTTCTACAGTCAGTTGACGAAACAAGCTGAACATTTGATCATTTTACTAGTAAGGGACACTGAACACATATGCCAAAAATTATTAAAATCGGATAAACATATGTAAGTGTTTACCTTTTTTTTGAAACTTAGTATATTAACCATGTTACTCTATAGCATCTCTCAACGTTTTGGTAAAATTATTATGGTGATTGCGTAGAACTGCGCGCACTTTTGTTTGAACAACTCAGAAATGTGAAGCTTTAGCCATCAAGATGGTTTTGCAGAGCGCGTAATAGGTGGAAGCTCTCCACGGATTTGTCATCTACGTAAATCTCAGTCGTCGAGGCGACATCCATGCGGGTGAAATTTTCAATACAAACTTTGTTTATTGAATAAACTCAATACTCTTCAAAATATCCAGATGGAATCTAAGAATCATTCATTCAAGTAACACTGTTGCTGCTTGCTAATTTTGCAATAAACGAATGTTCAGCCTTTAGTATTACCTTCCGACAGTCGACCAATTGCTAAAAACAATGGAAAAAACGTTTTATTTGTCGGGTATGGCCGACCGGAGGTGTTTTTCATTGTGTACATATAGACAATTAATGACGTGGTGGTGGACGATGTGTGTTTACTTATCTGGTCGCCGCGCCGTGAACTACGGAACCACGTACTTTTGACGATCGATGTTGCGATTGCCACCAGGTGGTGCGCAGTCTTAGACCATCATAGTTGGAGGTACCACCCAGCGGACCTCTAAGGCGCGGAGTCGTGTGTATGCCACATTCACACAGATTCCACCGCTAGAGCTCGTGTAACGTCCCACCTTTCTCTTTGTATTCCCTTATAGCCTCACGGGACCCACGGGTGTTTAGACCTAAGGCCTTTGTGGTGGTTCAAGTATAAAGAAAGACAAAGCACACGTCCTCGATAACTAACTATAGCTTGAGAAAACATACCCAGGATTTGAATACTCAGTTGAACGAAGCAAAATCTATTTAACAAAATGAGAAGCACTTGAGTCAACATGAACCGCATTCTCAAAAGGGTAGTAAAAATGCTGTCGAGCAAGCTTGTTGGTCCTGAGCCAGCCCTAGTGGTGCCCGCGCAAAGAGTCAGGATGAAAATGGAGACATGGATTGGTAGGGAATACTCTCTGAAATGGAAAAGCATCTCTAGATATCTCCGCCAGACTGCTCGTTGTGTTGAGGATGGACGCTTATATTTGGGCAGAGCCAGCCTAAGGGTGTTGGTAGGCCTGCTGTCTGGCCATAACACGATGTGTGAGACCTGCGTCGTAGAGGAACAGTCCTCAGCGCATGTTCTGCTTCGCTGTGAAGTTTCATACAGACTATACTGGTGTCTAACACTTTGGATCTTAAGAATGTTAAGGAGCTAGGACTCAGGATTACACTCAACTTTGCTAGAAGAGGGAGGCTTAGCCTCGTTATGTAACACCTCATGGTCGCCGGTATCCCTCTAATTTATTTATTCATTCATTATTTTATGAGTCAACATCAACCACATTCTCAAAACGGTAGTAAAGTTATCTAATAAAAATTTCCATATAAATTATTAACATTTGTTGCGGACTTTAATCCATAGAAGCTCGGAGCAGCAAACGCAGTAAAAAACGGAGAAAAAGACCAGCAGCACTCGAAACAGCAAACATCATCAAAAGTTACTCTCCTTTCACCCTTGTGTTTTTATGTTAATTAACTTTCAGATTACACTCACCGTGCTCTCCTGAAAGCGGCAAAAAATAATTCTTAATTAAACAGTTTTATAAAACCTGGCAACAACTTCATTTACGGCTGTAATTGAAACCATGTCGGTCTGGGTTACACATAATTCGGTTTGCGTGAAAGTACCGGGTCAAAATGTTTCACGCTCTACCTGACACGGTAGAGCCAACGTTTTCCATTTTTGGAATGTTCTACCAACTTTCGGCAAACAATGAAGAAGTAAGATTTCTTGTCGATGTGACGGAAGGTTCATCCGTCTGTTAAGGAAGTGTCACCGATTATTCGGGTAACCGTACTCTGAATGGCATTAAGTAAGGATACTACAATTGATGAGACCTGTACATGCCAAATTGTTGGTGGTCTGTGCTCCGACAAACATAAACTGATGACACACCGGCAAAGCTCGCAGATGTGACAGTCTAAGTTCAATGTCTGGGTAGTACTCTCGTTCTGATAAAGCGGTATTAATAATTGAGTTTGCTTGCATTGCCAGAAATGTAATATTTAGTAACCACTTTGTAACCTATATCTTAATTTACAACTTCAAATGCAAGTATTACGATGTTACGCCTTTTTTATCCTTCACTATGGTGGTGGAGCATTGACAGTTACAGGTAACCCCATCAAGCGACTTGTAGTATGGTACGAACATGCTGTATCAATAAATATTTTAGGCTGTTAGGAAATGTTAGCTGTTGCAAATAATATATGTCGCCGGAAATGCTGCGGTAGCAGAGCAACTATCTCGCAATACCTGGCTGCAAAGAAAAGATAAAGAATAAAGTTACACATAAACTAATGTAGGTGTTTTGCTATGGGAGTAAAAGCCCACACAAGTTTATAAACTTATTACATGGCGATCTTTCCCGGATGAATGTTGTGCTTGTGTGGAGCTACAGATTGAATATGAATAACCTCAACAAATGCAGGTGTAGGTAGACGTGAAAGGAGAACTCATTGTAATGGAGATAGTAGTTTCTATTTGAGAACCATATACATGTACCATGTACTTTTATCTTTGTTGTTATAAATTAGCTAAGTTATTCTTAATAATTGAATAAGGCAAATAAACGAAAGTATCTTTTCGGGGCCTACTGAGCCTATCCACTAAAACCTCGTGGCAATCAAATAATAATAATAATAATAATAATAATAAAATGTCTTTATTAGGCACATTATATACACTACAACATAATGTGACCTCTACGTAGGCGAAGTCTAGCTCTTGGCTACTCTACTTAACCTACCCAAATACTAAATTGAAACACTCAATCAAAGGAAACTTTGACAAGCAAAAGACGCTTCAAAACAACGAGCTTGATAGCTTCCTAGCATACATATATACACACATATATTACGTAAAATAAAATTAAATGTAAGAATTAAAAACTAACTATTCCACAATTACTACAATGACAAATAAATCTGTTTCACATGCTTACGAAATCTGTTTACTGGCCAATCCTTTATATTGTCATCTAATTCGTTATAAATCAGGATAGCATTGTAAGTGTATGAACTACGAAATAAAGTTGTTTTATACATAGGGATCTCTAGTCTTTTTTTGTGTCTGAAATCAATGTCTGAATTATTTCGTCTGAAAACAAATTTCTCATAAAGATACAAGGGGGATCTAGAAGATATGATCTTATGTGTAAACACTGCTATATGGTACTTGCAAGCATTTTCTATACACATCCAACCAAGCTGAAATCTCTTTAAGGAAACATGATCATACTTCTTGAGATTAAATACAAATCGACAACAAGTATTTTGGAG